CATGAACGACTTCGCAGTGTAGTTCGTCGTATGAATTCCGGATCATATTGAAGATGTTCTCAAGTACACCATATTGTCGAAGAAGATTGTATAAAGTCCTCCTATCCACGCTGTCGAACACTTTCTCATCGTCAAGGAAGTTGATATAAAGTGATGAGTTCCATTCAATTGATTGTTCAACGATGATCCGTAGAGTCGCGATTTGGTTTATGCATGGTCGATTCTTACGAAATCCAGCCTGTTGATCTCGAAGCTGGAGGTCTACTGAATCTTTCATCCGGTTCAGCAACACAATTGAAAGTTTCTCCTGGTAGTGTGATTCATCTGTAGTTCTCACATTTACAAAAATCTCCTTTCTTTGGTATCTTAATGAGGTGATACTTTCATTAGGATCTTGTGAATTGATTTGACTTGGAAAACAAGTAAGGTACCAGTAGATAAGTCAAATCATCTCATTATATATATATATATATATATATATATATATATATATATATATATATATATATATATATATATATATATATATATATATATATATATATATATATATATTAATAGATAAACATACTCTTTTGCTTCATGGATGCAAGAATTTTCTGGGTCTTTAAAGTCGTCCCCTTGGGCATTTTAACAATATATTTTCCTTCAACCTCAGGATTCATTCGACGACGCACTGGGACTAAAACGCCGACATCTAAATCTAAAACTAAGTTAACATATAATTAAATACTTTTAGACGCATTTTTATTTTCAGATGAGCAATCTTTCGACGTTGTTGAAGTGACAACAGGAGTTGGTGCAACTGATAACTTAAACAAAATAACTTCGAGGAAAATAGACAACTTGCCTCGTGTCTTATTTTTTTGCATTGCTTCAGTATGGAAATAATATCTCCAATAACTGTGATCCCCATATCTTTCAAGTGGTCCTTATCTAAATCAGCAAGGACTGAATTGTTAATTCGATGTTCAACAAAAATTCCAGCATATGTTTCCCTTAGTTTGGCTGGAACACCAGCAGCCTCAAAAAATTCAACCCATTCGCATAGGTCTAAAGAATTGATAAATAACGTAAAAATAATTTAGTGTAAATATACCGCTAAACAAGATGAAATTTAGAGACAATAGCCTTTGATTGGAAAACTTTTTAGCCAGATCACACTAGTTTATGTATGGTTGGTGTGGATAGTGACTAGATAATTTGGCAAGCTAAACGAAAACAACTTACAGAAAATTTTGTCTAAACTAAACAATTAGTGCCACCTAGTGTTTCATTTGTGAGCTCCATACAAATGATTTTATGCATAAAATTACTATTAACATAATTATGAGAGAATAAAACGACTAAAAGGAACGTAATTTTTTCAATGTTAGGAGTTTGAAAAGAATTACTAAGACGTCTTAAACCTAAGCTTTACGTGGCTTGTGTTCGAGTAACACTAACTATCATGACCAAAAGGAAGGATGGAACTTCATCAAACAGGTATTCAGATAATGCGAAATAACCTGATTCAGACTGTTTTTAAAATTAATAAGATAAGAATGGCACATTTGACAACCTTCGTATCGCATGATACGCCAATGAATGACTCATGCACTAGCCTTTCAAAAGTGGAATAGCTTTGGAGATATGTCAAGTTATTATCTACCGCTTGCCGATAGCTTAGAGTGATATAGTATATATTGATGAATTAGTTACGTAGACCAGGAAAATGTTCAAAACGCCGAAGCATCTAGGAATTAGCAGGAACGTACTGACTTGGGAGCTTCAAGTAAAACGCTAGACAGACTCCAAATATTCTTAAACTCCGAACACGCAATAAACTGAAGAATTAGATTCTGCTTACCTTAAATCATAGTACATTGAGATCCAGAAGACAAGAGGGTTTGATGTTACAGATGCATTCCATACCTTTAAACTACTTAGATAGGGATGCTTAGGTTACTCATCCAGCTTACTTGAAGTTCGAAACGGAGTAATGCAATCATTAACCAAAATTATATACCGAAATTAAGAGTATGCCCCGTCAATCGGCGAAAGACAATGAGAAGAGACACCGATATTGGATTGTGGTACTAAAATTACCCAAAGTACGAAATCGATTTATTCCTATTATACATTAGTATTTAATACTAGCGTTAAAAAAGGAACGGGATCTTTTGACCCCTATGTTTATGCATTATTCGGGATACCTAAAGTTTTGTGAGGTGAGTCGCTTGTAGATCTCTCCAAATTAAAGCATCATCAACATACTGAGAGCGGTAAAATTTACGACCCATATGTTAGGTGATTTGACCATCAGAGTTTTACTCCCTCTTAACTACAGCGAATTCAGAGTACTAATAGTGAAAAACAGAAATACATCCCAATAAAGCATACTTTACTGGTACTTTTTCCAAAAATTATCGGTAAAGTGACTCGAGTCATTTAGAAGAGTACATAATATCATCTGTGCATACTTGAGTACTCAACTAGGAAAAATTCATCACACCACGTCAACGTAAGTTAAGAAGTTCATCGCTTTATTGTAAAGAAAACTTCAGAGCAGCAAAATATTGTTGAGCAAAAAAATTAAACCGGTGGGAACGTTGAAACTGCTTATAACTTCACAACGAAAGTCTGTATCATCACACCAATATTATCACATTGAAGACCATGATGAGCACTAGGTGATACAGTATAATGAGGTTCCAGACCCAAAAACAATCATAATCAACCCAATTAAACACCCCGAAAAAAAACCACATTATGTAGCGCTTACCTTTCATTTTTGGCGGTTAATTAAAACAAAACATCAGGGTGGTATAAGAGGAAAAGCAGGGTCACCTAAGAATTCAAATTATTAAACATTTCGAGAGCGAGGGAAGTTTGGGTTTCTCATAAACGGGCGGGAAGTTCAGATCTCCGGATTTGGAGTGCCTGTGAGTTACTGCGTGATAGTTGTGAATTACGTCAAGTAGTGATATCTCAATTTATGTTTGTGTAGTCTCAACTTTTTTAAATATGTTATGCCGTCTTTCTTCAGATGTTGTTAAACGAAAAGTTGTGATGACGACGAAGCAATCTTCACTTATGTTAAATTACAATATCGACCAGTTAAGATCTATTAGTGATGAAGCTCCTACGAATTTCAACTATTTCCAGTAAGATCTTTGAAATCAAGCCAGTTTCGGCTTCATCATATAGTAAAGGCTAACATATCTTTTGGCCAAGTTCATCGTTTATTCTGTAACCACACTCGTAGTGGCCTGAAAGCCTCTTTAAAATATGGAATCTAAACAAATACTATTCAGGATTCGCATGCTATCTGGCTCATTTTGACTATGAAGAACCACACTGCAGTCCCAAAGACAAACTCTTGTTGATGTATCTAGTCTTTTCCAATTGACAACGGACTATGTTCCACTTATTTTCAGTTCTTGATCACCTCGCTACTGTATCTGAGCCACTGTTCGTTCATATTTTCTCAGTACTCATATCACCCTATTTCAACTGATTTTCAGTTGTTATTTTGTGGTAACCTAAACCACTAGTCGTCTTATATTTGTTGTTCTTCACTGTCTGTTTCTGCAAATATTCCCGTCTAGCTCTCCACAACAGCTAAAACTTCACTGGTCAGTTCCATATATCTTCAGGGATATTTCGCTCCTAAAGTTCATAAACCCTCGAATATTTGCACAAGTTATATCGTTAGTAGTTATTTAAGACAGTATAAATGTTAATAATAGTTGCTCCTTTTAGTACCAGTACAATGAGCAGAAATCCAAAACAAGATCACGATGGGAATACTAACTCCAACTGTGGTAGAAAGAAATGAAAGTCGTTGAGTACAATCACGTAGTGTTCAAGATTGTGTCGTTACATCGACAACTTGAATTAACCCACACATGTTCCAAATCGTACATTGATTATGACTGACTACTAAACAGTACAATGATTTATGTACACGTACTTCATGTCCCAACTTGACCATCTAGTAAACTCCTATGATTTAATGAACTTACTTGTTACTATTCTCATAAGATATCGTTGAGTTCCCTGTCTGTATTTAATGCTTATCTTTCTAAATGGTCGTTTGATCAAACTATATTAAGACAGTAGATTTCTCCTATGTTTGTACTCGTTTTTATGCACTATTTTTGTATTTTTCCTGTCAGCGATATTTAGATTAGTCCTTTACCCTCATCAAGTCAATACTTACAGAAATACTATGCAAGGTGCTCTTGGGTTTGACGCATAGCTCCCAAAGCATTCGTTTTAGAGTGTTTTATCTTAACATAAACTTCCCGTTTATTTACTTTGGTCTTGTCAGAGTGCTTTTATGCAGCCAAATTCTACAAAAGCAATATATTCAACGAATTCGAACAAATAGATAAGCAATGAACAGACTTGGTAAAGTTTACTCAAAACGAAACAGCTTTAGTGTTGTTACCTAAAAATTCAGATACTTTAAGCTTTTTGACCGATTGAATAGAATACTTTTCAGAGACTAAATGAAATGTTCGTTATACGATTGCCATTATGTATGCATACTTTAGAACCCAAAACAGTAACGATCTAGTTTATGTTCCTTTCCTGTCTGCAATAGACAAGATACCAGACTACAACTAACTAGTGATTTTTGAAGAGATGAGTCAACGGTTTTAGCAATTGGCGGTTGTCTATTTCATCTCGTTTTAACACGCCGTTCCCCCTACATCCGTTCAGACATCCCCATAGTATCGCTTTTCTTTACAATAAGTTTGTGCCATAGACAGTAACTTGGCTACCGGGATTTGTAAATTGTCGTTATAAAATATTCCCAATTTCCCCCAACTATTATAATCAATCTAATATTCTATACAGTCATACTGTACATTTTTCGAAAAGCTTCTAGAGTACCACTACCATACCAACTTCTGTATTTATTTTATTACTTTTCTATGCCCCACAGGATGTATTTACTAGTTACCCTATTTTCTGTGAAGGATTAATTATCAAATTTCGACTATAAATTCATGGAAGGTGGTCAGCCGGTCGCTGAAGTTCGTTCATATTCACCTAATAAATGTGGCGAAGTGGTTAACGGCAGTATGCACTCAAGTTCAACGTCGGACTCAGACTACGAATACCGCAAGAGGAATAGCTATTGTCTTAGTTGTCAAAGAAGACCTAAAGCATCATTGAAATTTATATTAACTATATGGTACTCTCCAGAGACTAGTTCGGCTATAGCCGGTAAGTCCTTTTCGTGATGAAGTGTACTGGTTTATTTATAACATGAATTTTAGTACAATTAAGGCCTGATTAATAGGCTTGGTTCTTCGGCACCTTATCCCTACTGGAAGTTCACAATCTTTCAGTCAAACACACTCGTAAGTACGGCTTGGAGAGAATACGTCTCATCGGTGCATTGTTTACCCATATTTTACCAAAGATATTACCATAAGTTTGCTCTGATTTTTCACTACGAATAGTTTAATTACACCATTCCCACTACTGCCAGCAATTACACAACTATCCAGATATGCATACTTCCTGACGGCTTCCAGTGACTATTGTAACAACCTCTGACAATGGAAGTACACTGCAACTAAGTTCATATATTATTATTCTAGCTATTGTCTTTTCATGACTTCTGAATTCTGGTTTTTCCCAACGTTACTGACATAATCATTCTGAGGGTGGAAAATTTTTGACTAGCTTTTGTCAGCATCCCTACATATTTTTCCTAACAATAAACCCGTCATTTTATGAGGCTTTGCTAATATTGGTAGTCATAACGTACAATGGAAGTTTCCAATATTCTAAATACTTTTTCCATTGAGACGCACGTTTCTTCTCGAGACAAAAGAGATGGAAAAGGCGGCGGCTATAGGGAACACAAGACAGCTCTACAGACTAATAAAAGAAACTGGAACTAATAAGTCAAGTGTAAGTCAGACTAGTTCGGAAAAAGACGACACCCTCTTCTGCTCTCAGTTCAAACGTTTAGAACGATGGTTGGAACATTTCAGAGAACATTTCAGCTGGCCTTTAGCTACTTTACAACTACTCTCCATTCCCAGACAGTGTGAATAGAAGATTGAAGTAGGTTCCCCAACTCTAGCAGAAGTTCAAAAGGCTATAGTTAATCTGAAACGAGAAAGGTCAGCTGGTTCAGATGGATTGGCTTCAGAGGTCTTTAAGCATGGTGGTCCAATTTTAGCGATTAGGTTGACCAATATTTTAGCTAAGATCTGGGAGTTAGACGCTATTCCATCTGACTGGTCACAATCACTTATCGTCCCAATATATAAGAAAGGGTCAAAATCATCTTGTGACAACCACAGAGGGATTAGTTTAACTAATATAGTATCTAAAGTACTAGCCTCGATAATTATCAAACGCTTAACTAAGACTCGTGAACTGCAAACACGAGACAATCAAGCTGGCTCCAGACCTGGTCGTGGCTGCATCGGTCACATATTCACCATTCGTCAGGTTCTAGAACATAGGCATACTTACCGGCGTCCGACAATGGTGGTCTTTCTTGACCTAAAAGCAGCATTTGACTCGGTAGACCGCTAGGTTCTGTGGCAGTGTCTGTCATTGGAAGGCGTACCTCAGAGGTACATAAACCTTGTGAAGGCTCTTTACTCGAACACTACCAGTCGAGTCAGAGCGTATGGCGAACTGTCATCTACTTTTGCAGCCTCAAGTGGTGTCTGTCAAGGCTGTCCACTTTCTCCATTTTTGTTTAACTTCATCATGGACCTACTGATGGAAATAACATTCTCGTCTACTGAATTCTCGGGCATTGATCTCCTTCCAGGAGGTCCACTTATCTACTTGGAATACGCAGATGACATAGTCCTGTTTGGTGAAAACACTGATAAAATGCAGAGTCTTCTGGTAGCACTAAGCAACAATGCCAGAATGTTTGGGATGCGCTTCTCTCCCTCTAAATGCTAGTTGTTGCTTCAGGACTGGTCTGCGTCAACACTTGAACTAAGGATAGGGAGTGAAGTAGTCGAACGCGTTGACAACTTATTAGGTATTACGGAATGATGGTAAATCAGTCGATGAGGTTGTGAATCTTCATAGACTGAGATGGTTAGGCCACGTGTTACGTATGCCTGAACACCGATTACCACGACGTGCAATGCTAACCGGTGTTCGGGATGGTTGGAAGAAAGTTAGGGGCGGCCAAACCAAAACGTGGCATCAGTGCTTGAAGTCACTAACTTCTAGTCTGAGCCATGTTGCGAGATGCAAACTATTTGGTTGGGGTCCGCGTGACCATCGTAACCAATGGTTGGAGACTCTTGGTGACATAGCCCAGAGTCGATCACACTGGCGTCGGTGTATACACTCTCTATCTTCCCTTAAACTAAGAGATTAAAATCGCTTCATATCTTTCCTTCTACGAACTAACTCTTTCTTCCTGTGCTATATCCTCATTGCAATCTTTCTTTTATATATTACCACCTCTGAATTAACTACTTTTATGAATGCGGTGTCCATCTTGTTGTGGTAATGAGGTATGGCAACTTGGACCGATGCATATATGTGCCTGGTCCTACGTTGTAGCTGACTGACTGACTCTCGAAACATGACGTTAATAGTCGCGAACTATATGTAACTCGTTGCTTATTTCATATAAAGTTTCCTTCAGAGCTTACCTACACAGTGAAAAAACGCATTAAAACAACCAACCGTTCTTTCAACCAGATTATTATTTTACATTTTTGTCAGGTTTTGTTCCTTAATTTGAGAATAAGAAATTGAAAAGTTTAAATGTAGTTAACAATAATTTACTGTTTCTCGTAAATTACCAATAGGGATTTACTATCGATCTACACTAAAAAGGACCTGACATACAGGACATTGATCATCACGCAGGGATTTAAATACATCTCAGTCCTACAGGAGGTCAGTCACGGCCCGGACAGCTCAGTGGTAACGTCTCTGACTCCGAAGCTGAGTGACACGGGATCGAATCCGTCACGGGTGTCAGTTCCCTCAAGAATAATACAGGTACACCTTGCTGACGAGTGCCAAGTAGCACGAAACCCGGGTCCAGGGTTTCATGCTGACTACTTCCAACCACCATCTTATCAATTGGGATTCCTAAACGCCTTTATTCGAGGATACATTTTAATGCTACAAACAAGAATTTCACTTTGTTCAGTGAAAATGTCAATCGACTGAATGAATAAATTTATTCATATAGTCCAGTAGTCATAATACCTATTTTCTCAAACACTGACTTCAATAATTGTAAGGCATATTTATCCATTTCCCCAATTCTATAAAATGTACAGTTCATCAAAGTAAATCTTTCAGACTTATTCTATTCAGAACAAACTGTAATAATCTAGTTAGGATAAAATAATCTACATAATATTTACACTGTTAAGGCTAGTTAATCGTTTAGTGACATTGGAGAATTTATTTATTATTCTCTGGTTTTCGTCTTAAACTAATTGTTATTAGATATGCAGTTGATCTTTGGCAACCCAAAGTCTTTTCTTATTGTAGCTCATTGTAGCTTTCATTGATGATTAATATACAACCCACTTATTTTAATTCCTTACCTAATTTCATCTTTTTACGTTGCCAAGTTTTCGGTAAATATAAGATTTTCACAGCTTTAACTCTGTTTCGAATACATATTGTAAAAGAACTAGTTAGTTAACACTTGATATATTTTGTTTTAATTATATCCACTTGGTTTCAAATGAGTTTTTCGATTTTCAGAAGCAATGTCATCTACCTATACGGAGGTACAATTACAAGAAATAGTCTCCAGTTCAACCAAAGATATTTTACAGTTAGCTGAGAAACATTTTGCTGATCTCAGAATATAATAATATCCCGGGTCAGTTATTTTATTCCTCTTTTTCCTTCTTCACATTTCTTCTTTCCTTTTCGTTTTCTTCATTCTCTTCTTTCATACGAGATTTTTTAAATCACTTCCAATCAGTTCATTATAAAACTGTATATTTTGTTATACACTTTGTGTGTTTCTGTGAAGATAAATTTATATAGAAGTGATGTTTGTTTAATGTGTACATAGACTCTTTCCATCAATATTAATAATTGAGATAATAATAATTCGAACTGCTTCTCCTATTCTTATATTATCAACACGTACAATATGTGTAGCAATAAAAGAAATGAACAGTGTTATGTATTGTTATTTACCCAATTGTTGGGATTATAATGACAATAATAAATATACATCTTTGGGTAATTATGCATTGATCAAACTTGTATTTTATTCTCAATTTTTTTTCTATAATTGGACATGACATTCTATTAAATTTAGGATAAATACGAAATTCCAAATATAATGAAACCAATTAGTTTTGTTCATCATGTTATGTAAAGACATAGCAAACTAACACTGTTAGGTATTCGGTCTAATCAGTTAAAAATATGCATCTTTTCAGACAGAAACCCATTAATGAATTTAATCCCATAAAATTCTTATCACTAACGAAAAATTGATTACTGGCGTAAATAACTTCATTTAGACGTCCAACTGTAACCCTTTATATTCAAATTTTGTTATAATATCTGTAATAATGCCGTGCAATTCTCTATTTTCTCAGTAAATTTAAAATAAATAATCTACGAAAGTAATATCTGCTATCAAGTGACAAGCAGTGAAAAATATTGTTTATAAATGCAATTTATTGTAATCTTAGAATTATAATAATGACATTAGCATTCTAGGTTCCGCTAATTTTTTTCAATAGACAGTCCAAAGTATTTCATTCGACAGAGAAACCTCGGTTTCTTAAAACTCACCAACCAACTATACGCTTCGTTTGTAGAGTTGTCTGTAAATTTTGTAATAGTAGCAACAGAATAGATAGTCTAAGTTGATAATTTCGGTAAGATGATATAACTACTTATTTTAAAATTTGTAACCAGTTCACGTTCCGACCGAAGCTGCTACCTAGACGCGGTGGTCGGGATTGCCTATCGTGATGACCCAACGGAGCTATATTGGCTGGAACATATGTTCCTGTAGGTTCTACCATGCCAGGCAGGTCGATTGGAGAACGGTAAGACTAAAAGCAGCAACTCAAGGTCTGAGGGCGAAGTCGTACTACTGACTGTAGAGGGGTGTGACAGCAGTAAGGTGTTTCCCTCAGACAACCAGCATGACAGCGATGCTGCCTTCCCACAAGGAGAGGTGGGGTTAGAAAAGGTCGACCCTAAAAATGTCACACCTCACGTTACCTCAGGGGTTTCCGTCTCCAGAGATAAGGCCCTTTGAAGAACAGAGCTAACACATTAAACACCTTCCACAAAAAGGCCGTGCGCGACCAGCCTCAAGCAGTTGTCCCTTGGGCTCTGCGGTCACACTCCCAGGTCGTTAAGACCAACATTAATCCGATTTCCTCTTCAGGTTCCTCAAGAAATACCCTTCCACGGTGTGGGCAGCCGGGAAGTGATATCAGCCCTCATACCCGTAACAGCACAAGAGACCAAGGTGGTCACATTCAAATCCTTCCTATACCTCCTAATACCTCTCTTATCTCCATGACTAACCCTCCTCACGTCTCTTTATTACCTCGCACCGCTAGGGCAAACGATTCGAGTACGCGGAGCGCTATTCATGGTCTCCTGAAACCACGCTCCAAACTACACGTAGGAGCTTTTAACGTCCGAACACTGCCAAATAGGACTTCAGGCTTCCTTAGCTAAAACTCTAAAATCCCGCGCCATCGATGTGTGCTGCGTCTCCGAAACGCGCATACAGGATCCGAGTAGCCTCATTCACTTGACCTCGCCATGCCAAAATAAAGAACCGACTAGATTCACACTTCGTGTATCTAGAAGCCCAGATTCTGCTTCTCGTGGCCTCGCCGGCGTAGGTATAGCATTGAGTCCTAGGACAGAACTAGCTCTCTTAGAGTGGATCCCAGTAGACAGTCGTTTGTGCGCTATCCGACCAAACGGAACAGTAAGGACTCGGAAGGATAGGGTCACTCGTCGTTGCCTCTTCGTCATCTCTGCCTATTCTCCCACTCACTGCAGCTCAGATGATGTAAAAGATGAGTTTTACAGAAAGCTCTCCGACCTCCTAAAAGCTAGGCGCTCTGATGTAGTAATAGTGGCTGGTGACTTTAATGCTCAAGTAGGTAAACTAAGCGAAAGGGAAAGACACCTGGGTGGATCTTATAGCATCGTGGCTGAAAGAACAGATAATGGCGACCGTCTGGTGCACCTATGCTCAGATAACCGCCTGTTCCTTGCAAATACTAACTTTAAGCATAAGGAAAAGCATCTTTTAACATGGCGACCCCTTAATTCATCCCAACGTCGGACCCAAATAGATCACATCGCTATCAGCCACCGATGGAGGGGCTCGATAGAAGACTATCGCTCATTCTGGAGCACGTGCTTAGATTCAGATCATGCTCTAGTACGAGCGCGTATCTGTCTACGTCTTACTGGACGTAGGAAAGATAGTGCAAGGAAACCTCTTAGGGCCCTACTTAATGATAGTCAAGCTAAGAGTATATTTCGAGAACAACTAGGAAAACAGTTAGGCAGCCATGTATGTGATGCCCACCCCGAGGCAGCATGGAATGATATCCGAAAAGCTGTGGAAACAGCAGTGATATCTGCTAGTACGGTAAACCACAAGGTTAGGGAGAAACACTGGATCTTAGTAGCATCTACCGCACTGATAGATACTCGAAAACTCATCCTACCTGGCTCTGAACATAACAAAGGGCGGAGTCAGCTTAAGCGCAAGCTGACAAGAAGTCTACGCAATGATCGTGAACAGTGGTGGGTAGTGAAAGCAAGAGAGATGGAAAAGGCAGCGGCAATAGGTGATAGCAGACAATTCTTCAGACTTGTTAAGGAAACCGGTATTAGGAAACCGACTGTTAGCGAAACACTCAGAGAAAGATGGACATATTATACATTCTCAATCCAGGAGATTGGATCGATGGGCAGAACACTTTAGGGATCAGTTCAACTGGCCTTCAGCCACACTTCGGTTTCTCACGATCTCCAGTCAACCTGAATGGCAAGTTAATGTAGGTCCTCCGCCTCTTTACGAAGTTGAAAAAGCTATAGGAAATCTGAAGCGAGGGAGAGCAGCAGGCCCTGACAGGTTTACTCCTGAGATTCTTAAGGATGGTGGTTCAGTATTACCAGTGAGATTGACTGAGGTTTTAGGTAGAATTTGGGAACTGGACGTAATCCCATCTGACTGGTCTCAATCACTGATTGTGCCAGTCTATAAGAAAGGACAAAAGTGCTCTTGTGACAATCACAGAGGAATCAGTTTGACAAATATAGTGTCTAAAATATTAGCTTCAATAATACTTCGACGCCTAACCAAAGCTCGTGAAGAACAGACCAGAGAAAGTCAGGCTAGTTTTCGACCTGGACATGGTTGTATAGACCACATATTCACACCACGTCAGGTTCTAGAACACAGACACACATTCAGACGCCCCACAATCGTAGTATTTCTCAACCTTAAAGCAGCATTCGACTCTGTTGATCGTGATGTTCTATGGCAGTGTTTGTCACTGAAAGGAGTAACAAAGAAGTACATTAACCTTATAAAGGCTCTCTACTCGAACACAACTGACCGAGTGAGAGCTTATGGCGAACTGTCATCAGAATTGATTACCTCAAGTGGTGTTCGTCAGGGCTGCCCACTCTCTCCATTCTTGTTCAACTTTGTCGTTTAGAGATAACACTTTCCTCGTCTAGATTTCCAGGGGTTGAACTTCTACCGGGAGGTTCACTTGTTGACTTAGAATATGCTGATGACAGTTTTACTTGGTGAAGATGCTGACAAAATGCAGAGTCTTATGACCACTCTAAGCAACAATGCAAGCATGTTCGGGATGCGATTCTCCCCCTCGAAATGCAAAATGTTGCTTCAGGATTGGGTTGCATTGACACCCGAACTAATGATAGGGAGTGAAGTAATTGAGTGTGTCGATCGCTTCACTTATCTTGGAAGTCTCATCAGCCCTTGTGGTCTGGTATGTGACGAAATCTCAGCACGGATACAGAAGGCTCGACTAGCTTTTGCCAACTTGCGTCATTTATGGCGTAGGCGAGATATCCGTCTATCAACCAAAGGACGTGTTTACTGCGCAGCAGTTCGTTCCGTCCTACTTTATGGCAGTGAGACATGGCCGGTAAGAGTAGAGGATATTCGTAGGTTACTAGTATTTGATCATAGGCGTCTTCGAAACATTGCTCGTATATCCTGGGACCATCGAGTAAGTAACGCAGTTGTTAGGAAACGGGTACTAGGTAAGGATGGCAAATCAATTGATGAAGTAGTGAAACTTCATCAGTTGAGATGTCTGGGACACGTGTTACGTGTACCCAAACACTGGTTTCTCCGACGAACGATGTTTTATGGTGTAAGAGTAGGTTGGAAGAAAGCAGACGTTTAGGCCAAGACATGGCAGAAATCCATGAAGTCACTGACAAGTGGACTGAGTCATGTCGGTAGGTGTAGACTACCTGGTTGGGGACCGCGAGATGATAGCAACCGATGGTTAGAGACCCTGAATGACATGGCTCAAAAGCATTTGCAATGGCGCAGGTGCATACACTCTTTGTGTTATCCCAAATTTTGATCTTATTCCTCCTTGTCTCTTTTTTTTCTCTTCCCAAATTTATTTCACTGTATTATACTCTTTAAATGACATCTCCAAACACTAATTTTCCCGATTACTGCTTATACTCTTACTATCTCTGCCACTACGGGATTTGAATCGAACACTACATCTCTGTGCTAATGTGGTGTGGCAACTCGAACTGACGTACGTACGTACGAAGTTCTACGTTGTTACTGACTGACTGA